GGTGCGGCTTCGTAGTTTATCAAAGTTGAACTAAAACATGTTGGTAATACAGTAATAGTGTAAACCCCGGTAAAATCCTGAGAAGGTTTAACTGTATCAAAATTTGGACACTGCCCAATCCTAGTGTGAATGAAACAAAAACACAAGTCCAGCTCTGTTTTTGAGGAGGGAACGACATTAGAACACGACTTAAATCTCACAGGAGTCAGTTTTGTGTAACGTAGGAACTTTAAATAAGAAATAAACAAGAAATAGTCCGTGTTCAAGTTCTGCGAATATAAAATCAGTATAGAAACCGTCTGCATCTTGGTTTGAGTTAATGGGAAACAGACAAAGCGCTCATGGCAGACACATGAAAACAGCTCCCTGGTGTCATCGCGTGCCACAGAGAATCCACTGCAGATTTTCCATAAACAAGAAGTACAATAAAGTTTTGGAACGTTTGAATCAATTTCTGTTCTACAAGGCAGATGGGGACAAATCAGCTAAGAAAACAGAATGATGTTTAAAATAAATATCAGATTATGTTGTGCTTTTGAATAGGAAGAAGTCCTAAAAACGTCACCTAGAACAGGATAATTAAAGTCAGTATAACGACGCAAACATTTAAATTGTCATTATTAGAGATGGTAAACATTAGGCTTGTCAAAATGATCGAAAATCAGGTATGAATCGGAATATATATATCAGAATAAAATGAAATGTGAATGTACCAAACCAAATGTCAGGCCTTGTTTACCAGTTTTGTTTTTTTGTTATGGTTGTTACGACACGAGACTGGATCTATGAGAACGAGTCAAGACGAGATTTTGACATTCTTAATAGTAAATTGTGCAAGCCGGTTCCCAGTTTTAGATTTTTTGGCGATTTTTGATTTACTTTACTTTACTACAGATTCTCAAAAAATGCAACTCGCCAGAATTTAACTCAAACTTACTCAACTTTACTTATCCAAATGTAAAAAAACATAATTTTCCTCTTGTGTGTACGATCTCACGGAAATTTTATCTCACGAGACCTTGTGGCACGAGATCTTGTCCCATCCCTAGTTGTTAATTAAAGATCCATTCTGTAACTTTTCTGGAGGAGTGTCTGTCACCTTCTTGTCTCCAGGCAGATATTTTTTACTTTTCCTCCTTTAAGCAATAAAAATAGAAACTGAAAATCATAAAATTTTATACCAAACTGTGGAACATCCCTGGCAAAGCGATAACAGGCGGTCGATCCTCCACTAGAAAAGTTACACAGTGCAGCTTTAAGGACGTCATCACCCAGTAGAACGACATTTATGAATCTATGTGTTCTTAAACTAATTCAAAATGACATTATTTCACAAAGGAAGAATTTTTTTTTTCAAACTTTGGGCTGAAAATAGAAAATTCCCAACTAGTCTGAGTCCATATGTTTCCCGAGAAACATTTGGATCTTCCAGTGTATAAGTAAATGAATGTTCTTAGAAATCAGGAACACAATGCCAAGATGCCAATACTTGCGTAAACATCTCCTTTAGTGCAGACTTGTCCAAACCTGTGCCACTGTTCTTATTCTACATTAACTCACATCTTGAAACGCTGTTACAAAATGTACAGCTCGCCTCATTCTCCGACCAACCACCCGGGTTTATGGGTTCAAGTTAAATAATGAGAAACACACGAACCAAGAACTCATCTGCCAAAAACGTTCTAGGAAATCTGAAGACAAAAGATTTAGGGTGAAATTTAAGTTCAGCGTAAAGGTCGATTTAGGTCAGACCTGAACTGAACCCAAAGGAACAAACGGAGTCAATTAAACCCGTTCAACCCTGAGGAAGAATCAGAATACATTTACTTTTAAAATGTATTCCCCTACAGATTACAGATTACATACCCCAAAATGTAGTTTGTAACGGAATCCATTAAGTTACTTAAAGTGAGTAATGTAATCTGAATACTTTGGATTACTTGATTTGCTGTAGAGAAACAAAGACAAGGAAATCTTCACATGAGAAGTTTTATCTGATAAAAAAAAATAAAAAGCCCAGATTTTACTGAACCAAATTAAAAATATTATTGATAGAAGAAGAAGAAACACATCCACACAGCAGGATTTAGTCCTGTTTAAACCTGGTTTAGACCTGGTTTAGACCTGGTTTAGACCTGGACCTTTTAGACCTGGTTTTAGACCTGGTTTAGACCTGGTTTAGACCTGGTTTTAGACCTGGTTTAGACCTGGTTTTAGACCTGTGGTTAAGATCTGGTTTAAGTTTAGTTTAGACCTTGGTTTAGACCTTAGTTTTAGTCCTGGGGATTTAGCCCAAAATGTGAAAACAGGAAAATCCCGCCGTGTAATACATTTATTTCAACAAAGTAACTGTAATCCAATTACCACTCGCTGAAACAATAACTGTAACTGAATACAGTTGCTCATAATTTGTACTCTGATTACTCCGGTACATGTAATCTGTTACTCCCCAACACTGCTGACTGTTTTAGAATGTTTGAAATTTTATTCACACAAAGTTCTTCTGTAGTTACTGGAGATAAATAACAGCTCCATTTCACATTCAGAAAAGTTTTGTCTCATTTTATTTTATTTTGAAGGGAGTAAATGCTGTTTTCAGTCTCTGCTCTGGTATTTTTGTGAACATTTTGAATAACAAACACACCAAGAACTCAACTCGACAGTGACACAAGAACTTTGTCTAAACATTGACCCAGTGTGCCAACTTCGAAGACAGACACACACACACACACACACACAACACACACACACACACACACACACACACACACACACACACACACACACACACACACAACACACACACAAACACACAAACACACACACACATAAACACACACGCAGACATGAAGTCACTGTGTGCAGATAAAAGACGTTATCTGTGTATTTGACAAGCAAAACTTCTATGTCACAAGACCTAATTTGGCTAAATACAGTCGATTTTATAGATTTCTTCAGGCTGTGCTCACTGTCCAAAACAAACTGCTCCAGAAACTGTCACAACCTCCCAACACCAAACACTACGAGCTTCAATACAAAAGCAATAGTTTTATGATTCTTATGATTCTTATGACTGTATGAGAAAACATTAAAGTAGTTTGTTAATCTTTGCTTGTTTGATTTTGCAAACTGGGTGTTATGGGCGTAAATATCTCGATATTTAAAATATATCCAGATATTTTTTAAACACAAAATAGATTCTGACACATTGTATATATCGATATAATGTTTATATTTAATTCTTTTTCACCTTCTGTGTGCTCTTTGGTCCGACAGAAGCTCTATGGCTCTACAGTCGTTATGTAGAAATGTAAAGTTTATTTATACAGAAGATTTAAATGAATAATCTGCTGCAGGGTAGAACTTGTACAATAGTGTTTGGAGATGTTTGGTTTGATCTGCAGTGGATTGTGGGATTAAACCTCAGAGCTCCTGACGCTGGTGAGGAACAATAACCATGGTTCTGGTTCTTGTTCGGTTACAGAGTTAATGCAAAGATGAGCTTCAGTTGAGTTGTTTTATTTATTTTTGAATGAAAAGAAGACAATATGTATTATTTATTTCTTTATTTTATAGTTTAATTATTATTTTAATATATGTTTTTTATGTTGCAGAAGAACTTTGTTTCTACATAAACTGCCTCTTTGTACTTGAATTTAAAAAAAGACTTTGTGGAATTTGTCATATTTGTTTTTGCAGGAGTTTTTGGGGGGTTATTTTTCCTGTACAGATGTATACACACATATACAGATTATACATCATATACAGACTGCAGGTGTCTAGACTGAGGCTTTACGGAGCTTTTGAGGAGCCACGATGAACGAGTGTGACTGAGATGTTTGTTTGTGCTCCTGTGAAAACTCTGCAGCTGCACTTAGAATTTTAATGAACAGTTTTGTCTGCAGCCTGAACAAGTCAATGAAAATAATGAAATAATAATGTTACTCACAGATATGAGACTCAGAGCAATAAGATCAGTCCAACATGTGGAGACTCTGGTTTGTCTCTTTTAAAAACATAAATGTTTGTTGTTTTGTTTTGTCACTGTTCTTGTCTGTTTTAAAAGTGGCCCATGAGTCCAGAATAAAGATGATGATGATATCAAAATATAGCAAAATATATCAAGTAGGGCTGGTATCATTAAGGAGTTGCCGATACGATACATACCTCGATACACAGGCCACGATACGATACATATACAGTGCACTTTCGATTCGATATATTTCAAATCTATTTGATATGGTTCAATAAAAAATAAAGGCTACATCGTGGCTGTGATACTAAAAGTGTTTGTTAAACCACTTCTTGTACAAAGTTCATATGAAACTCAAACATTTTAATCCACAAAACAGTGAAAATGTCAAATGTGTCGCATAAATGAGTTTCCTTTCACTCCACAAGCAACAAAACTGTAGCACTGTAACAAAATAATTTAGTAAAACACACGTAAAAATACTCTTGGTGAAATATCGATGCAGTAGCCCACGATATCGACACTGTATTATCACATTAAACGATAGGATATATCGATATTCCGATATTTTTGCACACCCCTAATATCAAGATATATTTCTGTTCCTTGTCGCCCAGCCCTACAGGGTGTGACAACTGCCAACTTTCTGCAAAAAATTAACAAGCTCCAGTTTCTAACCTTCAAACTTCACCTCGTCACTGAAAGAAAACTCACTGCACAAAGACTTTACTACACTCCTGTAACGAGCACATTATAAACTTCAAGCCAAGTTCTTAGTAGAGCTCATGCACACTCATGAAGTCTGGAGATTACAAAACACAAAACACAAAACACCAGACAGAAGAGGAAACACCGCTGCACATGAATGAATCTGACATTTCCTGACAACAACAAAACTGCTTCTTAAAATCATAATCAGATCATTTGCCTCGTGTTTAATCCTCAGTAATTACACGTGCAACTAAATCCGTGTTTCCTGTGCAGCTCTGTCCTCAAACAGCCTTTTTTATTTTCCTGTTTTTTTCACCTGTGAAGTCTCCGCGCGTCCTTCAGCGTCTCGGCGCGGACCGTCCTCAAACCAGCGCCTCTTAAAACCCGCAGCATGTTCACAGACGTTCTCCAGATGCTCTCAGAAGCGCGTCTTCATGATCCGGTCGCTCGTCTGGTTCCTCGGAGTTCGGACGCGGCGTTTTTCTCGGATTCGTCGCGTTTATTTTCGCCCCCACCGCCGCCGCCTCGTTAACTATCACTATGTATTTCCGGAAATACGAGCCTCCACGGCGCCGGCTCGACCAATGGGAACGCGCGCTTCTGATGACGTGGCGAGGTCAGAGGACGCAGCAATGGACGCAAGCGAAAATGTAAACAAGACGTGCGCGCGTCAGGACAGGTACGAAAATCCACCAGGAAACAGAGAAAACGCAGAAAAATGAAGATTATAATGAATTAAATAAACGTTTAACAGTTAACACCAAAGGTTAGATTCAGTTTTACTCCGTTTGATCAGAAAAATCACAAGTAAACGCAAATTCTACAATGTACAAATGTGTTTAGTTTTGCATCACAGTTTTGTCTCATCTTTAGTTGTTATTAAAAGGTCCATTCTGTCACTTTTCTGGTGAAGGGTCTGTCACCTTCGTGATGTTTTAACTTTTCCTCCTTAAGCAATAAAAACAAATTGAAGGTCATTCATTTTTATCCCAAATTGTAGAACATTTCAGGCAAAGTGATAACAGACCAGAAAACACCAGAAAACCAGACGTGTGTGCAAAGGACAGGTACGAAAATCCACCTGTAAACAGAGAAAACGCAGAAAAATGAAGATTATAATGAATTAAATTGACGTTTAACAGGTAACAGCAAAGGTTAGGATTCAGTTTTACTGATCAGAAAAATCACAAGTAAACGCAAATTCTACAATGTACAAATGTGTTTTAGATTTAAAGCCTTTAGTTTTTAAGTTTTCCATCACAGACTTTGGCCTGTTTAAATCCAGGCTCAGAACTCGTCTCCTCAGACTGACTTTAACACCCACTAATGCAGGACATTTGCAAAATGTGTTTTATTTCATTGTTTCATGTTTTGCATGTTTTTATATTCTGGTCATTTTAATGTGAGGCACTTTGGTCACGCTGAGTGTTTTAAAGGGCTCTAGAATTAAACTTTGATTGGTCTGATTGATTGATTCATATACCTTTTTTATTTAGATTGCAAAATATAAATTAATCTGCTGTCTCTTTCTAACACTATGCATTTTCTTGAAGTTATACATTTATTCATTGTCAGATTGATCAGTTTTAATAATTCTGTCATATCGTGTAATAAATGATTAATTAGTGTGGATATAAATGCATGGATGAATCTTAATCAGATTTATATCAACTGTATTCACGATAATCTGTAAATATTTCATATTTCATTGTGTTTTGTGACAGATTTGAGACATGAGACTGTTATCGCGGGCGGCCGGAGTCGCTGCTGCAGCTCCCAGGAGTCTGAGCTGCAGACACTTCTGGGGTTGGCTCAACGCTGTTTTCAACAAGTGAGTTTTAATCTTCTGTGTCCGGTGAAACACAAACAGTCAAGAAAAATCACACTGAAAACCCGGGAAAATTGTGGTAACGGCAAATGAATCAGACACTGCAGCTGATCAGAGGCAGACTGCACCATAGAGAGAGATTTATTTATGAGAATGAACTTGTTTATCAAAGTGAACTCGTCCAATGTCCACGAGCAGTCACCCCCACAAAGACGAGTAGTTTCTGAAATCGACGCCTCAGCCCCTAATCTGTCCACTTTATTCCAGAAGTTGCCGTGTGCATCTCCATCTTCATTGGGGTTGTGTTATTTTGGACGGGGCTGATCCTCAGAGCAGATCAGTTCTGTTGTTGTGTTTCAGATGACATCACAGCGTTCTGCAGGACAATATTTATATTCTATAATATTTGTAAAGTCCAAACATTTATGAAGCCAGACTGACACTTTGTGCACCTTTCTTCCAGCTTTTAAAAATCCTCAAAAGTGAAAGAATTCACAGAAAGCTTCCAAGTGCAGCTCAAAACTACTGAGGTTTCACATAATTGAGGACAAACAAAACAAAACATACAAAAAGAGGAATGTTTTAACATACAGGTGACGTCAAAAAACTGTTTGGCTCCACTCCCACACTGCACCTGCCTTAAGGAGCCAAAGACACAAAATAATACAAAAAAATAAATATTACTTTAGTAAACTTATGATTATCAACTTATGATAATCAATAATTATTTGAAAAAAAAATGTAAATAAATCAAATGATTTTTAAGCAAATAATCAACAAATAATCATGTTAACCATAAAGAATGAGCAAAATGACCAAAAATCCTGCATTTTAATCCAATCCACTTTATTTCTGTCGCACTTTTCACAAACAAACAGTTTCCAAAATGCTGCACAAAAACATAATAAAACAACAATAAAATGATAAAATAAACTACTAAAATAATCATACTAGTCTTAAAATAATAAAAAACAGTCAAATAAAATAAAATAAAAAAATAAATAAATACAAATAAAATAAAAAATAAAATAAAATTTAAGTAAATATTAAATCAAACAAAATAAGAATAAAAACTCAAACTGGGTTCAGGCTCCCACGATGTTATTAAACACAGACGTGGTAAATACAAAAGTTAATGGGTTTAGACACCGACAGAAAATTTTACATTAAAGATTTGTGAATAAACTTTTTGGATTTAATGACAAAGTGCTCTGTTGTTAAGAGGGAAATTTGTCTCTTCCCCTCGTCCGGGAGTCTGACATCATCACAGTCTGGAATCGGAAAACCACGAATCGGGACGATAAAAACGTTTTAAATCCTCCAGAGAATCAGAAGCAGTGACGCGTTGGTCACATGAAAATTTAACGTTTTACACAAATGAATCGGGCGAAACTTTTCCCAAATTCTCACTGAAATGAATTAACCGGACGTGCCGCCACAAGAGGGCGCCGTTTAAGAGCCTGTAGAGACTAAAGTGGGCGGGGCTGAATTAGATGAATAATAAATGATTAAAAGTAAGTTAGTAAGTCTCCGTGTCAGTTCACCTGGAAATGTTCACCTCTCTCTCTCTCTCTCTCTCTCTCTCTACTTTCCTTTCTTCTCTGTTCTACTCTCTCCATCTCTTTTACTCTCGTCTCTGTTTACTCTTCCTCCTCTCTCTTCCCTCACCCTCCTTTCTCTCTCTCTGCTCTCCTCTGTCTCTGTCTCTCTCTCTCTCTCCTTTCCTTTCTCTACTCTATTCTCTCCATCTCTCTTCTCTCTATTTGCCCTTCCTCTCTCTTCTTTCTCTCCCCACCCTCCTTTCCCTTCTCTCTCTCTCTCCTTCCCCTTCTTTTCCACTCTGCTCTCTCCATCTCTTTTATTTCTTGTCTTTATTCATCCTTTCTCCATCCTCTCTCTGTATCTCTTTCTCTCTCTCTCTGTCTGTCTCTCTCTTCTCTCTATTTTCCTTTCTTCTCTCCTCTATTCTCTTCATCTCTTTTTCTCTTGTCTCTATTCACCCTTCCTCCGTCCTCTCTCTACCCCCACCCTCCTTTCTTTTCTCCCTCTCTCTCTGCCTCCCTCTTTTCTCTTCTCTCTACTTTCCTTTCTTCTCTACTGTGTTCTCTCCATCTCTTTTTCTCTGGTCTCTATTTACTCTTCCTCCCTCCTCTCTCTTCCCTCACCCTCGTTTCCCCTCTCTCTCTCTCTCTCTCTCTCTCTCTCACTGGCTCCGTCTCTCTCCGTCTCTCTCTCTCTCTCTACTTTCCTTTCTTCTGGACTATATTCTCTCCATCTCTTTTTCTCTGGTCTCTATTTATGCTCTCTCCCCCTCTCTTCCCCTCTCTCTCACCCTCTTTTTCTCTCTCCCTTTCTCCCTCCCTCTCCCCCCCTCTCCCTCCCTATCTCTCCTTCCCTCTCTCTCTCTCTCTCTCTCTCTCTCTCTCTCTCTCCATCTCTCCTTCTCTCTTTCTCTTCTCTCCCCTTCCCTCTTCCCTCCCCTCCTCCCTCTTCTCTCTCTCTCCCTCTCTTCCTTCCCCCCTCCCCTCTCTCTCCTTTCTCTTCTCTCTTTCTTCTCCTTTCTTCTCTACTGTATTCTCTCCATCTCTTTTCTCTCATCTCTTATCACCCTTCCTCCTTCTCTCTCTCTCCTCTCCTCCTCTCCTTTCCCTCTCTCTCCCCCTCCCTCCCCTCCCCCTCTCTCTCTCTCTCTCTCTCCTTTCTTCTCTACTGTGTTCTCTCCATCTCTTTTTCTCTTGTCTCTGTTCATTCTCCTCCATCTCCTCTTCCCTCCCCCTCCCTCTTTCTCTCTCCCTCTCTTCCTTCCCTCCTCTCCCTCCTTTCCCTCTCCCTCTCCCTCCTTCTCCTTCCCTCTCTCTCCTCCTCTCCCTCCTTCCCTCTCTCCCTCTCTCCCCTCTCTCCTCTCCCTCCTTCCCTCCTCCCCTCTCTCTCCTTCTCTCTCCTTCCTTCTCTCTCTCCGTCAGAGTGGACCATGAGAGGATAAAGTCGGTGGGTCCGGATCGAGCGGCGGCTGAGTGGTTGTTGAGGTGCGGAGCCAGAGTTCGGTTCCAGGGTTTCGACCGGTTCCATCAGGACTACAACGCTCTGCCTCCGGGTCCGCTGGGCCGGTACCGGGTCCAGGCCATCGACGCCACCGAGTCCTGCATCATGCACCGCGGTTTCGAGCACTTAGGTCTGTGCACCAACACGACGGTTTCACTCTCAGGTTCACAAGTGCAGAAAAACACCTCCACAGGTTTTCCCCTCGCTTTATTTCTCCAGAATTTGAACTCTGCTCCCAGTCTCATGATTTTACTTATTATTAGTTTATTTATTTCATTCATAAAGTATAAAAAGACATGAACAGTGTCACAACAACAAACACACAAGAACTGAATGAAAAAGGAGCAGAAAGAGTCGTCTTTATTTCTTTATTAAAAACAGTAAATCTCACAGTTTTGACGAGCTGCTCGGACTGAGAAGAGTTTATGTTCTGACTAAAAAAATGAAAAAGTGAAGCTGCTGATCAAAAAAACAAATCTAAAATAAAAGCAGTGCAGCTTTAGTCCATGCATGAGGTAAAATTATAAAATATGTTTACCGTATTTTCTGCACTAGAGGCGCTCTGTCATTGAAAGGTCAATTTTTGAACTTTTTTCACAAATAAACTGCACCGGACTTTAAAGGAAACACAAGGCAAGTTTATTTGTACAGCACAATTCATACACAAAGTAATTCAAAGTGCTTTACAGAATAAGAAATACATTAAAATAATAAGAAAAACCAATCAAAACATAAATAATCATGAAGATTAAAATTAAAAAAGAGAGACATAAATAGGAGAGAAGAGTGCGGAATGAAAACCTTTCAGTTATTTGCACAGTCAAACAGAAATGCTTTGAGTCTGGATTTAAACAGCGTCACAGAAGAGTCTGTCTCAACAACAGTTCGATAAGTCAGTCAAACTTTATTTAACATGATCACAATAACTCTCAACTTTGTTCAATTGTAACGTGTAAAAAAATCCTGTCTGAGACAATAACATAATAGTTGAAACAGTTGGGTGATTCCGGCACAAGTCGCACTAAGACAAACCAATAAATTCATATATAAAACGCTCAGGATTATAAGGCGCACACTCGTTTTTTGATTAAATTAAAGGATTTTAAGTGTGCCCTATAGTGCGGAAAATACGGTATTTTGTAGTTCCAAATGAGTTTAAATGGGCCGGTCAGAGTCGAGAAACTGACTGTATGTGGCCCCAGAGCTGCACAAGGCCCAAGTCTGATCTATAACAACAGAAAACTTTAGAAAGAACACAAAGTTTAGGATTTAGCATTTTAAAATCTCTAACACAACCAACAAACGATGGTGATGACACAATCTGAATCTCTCTCCTGCTGTAGAATTATGATCCTAGATTCTGTTTCACAATAAACCAGAGCAAAACTTGAGCTTAACCAGATCAAAATGTGGTTTAAACTGTGACAGAACATGTCAAGGTTTTATATGACGCAAAACTGACTCCTGTGAGAGTTAATCCATGTTCTAATGTTGTTCTGTCCTCACAAACAGAGCTGCAGTTGTGTTTGTTTCATTCACATGTTTGAGGAACTCTGCATTATGAGTCTGTTACATCTGCAAAACTTTTCTACAGCTGAATTTTACCTTTAGTTCAGTCGAGGTCGACGACTCCAGAACTGAAATAATTATTGAACAGAGAGTTTTCAGTTTGACAGAAGAACTCAGTGTAAATGTTCAGGTTTGTGTGATAAATGTGTGAATGAAACAAAACACAACTCCAGGTCTGTGTGTGATTGTGTGACGAGGAAACTACAGAGCAAAAACTGGAGGGTTAAAAGTTCAGGGTGAAATATTTCAGAGTTGTTTTTAACACAAAAAGTGTTATTTGAACTATTTGAAAGTTAAATGGGGGTTTGAGTTGGGCTTATTTGCCAGAGTTGATACGGTAGAGATTAATTAAAACTTTTGTTAGTGTTAATTCAACTTCCTCAAGTGTTAATTCAACTTCCTCTTCAACTTCTTTTAGTGTTAATTCAACTTCCTCAAGTGTTAATTCAACTTCTTTTAGTGTTAATTCAACTTCTTTTAGTGTTAATTCAACTTCCTCTAGTGTTAATTCAACTTCCTTTAGTGTTAATTTGTCTCCTCCCATCACTTCACACTCCCGCCAGAGTAAACCAGTTTGAACCAGTTTTGTTCATAATTTCTTCTTAAATTAACTCAAATAAAGTGTAAAAATAAAACACCTCTGTGTGTTGTTCAGTTAAACCAGGATAACTCTACAAAGTGTTATCTGTTTACTCTCTAAACATGAATATAACTCTTGATTTTGAGGTTAAACAGGAACTTTGGTCCAGTGTTACTTCATGAACATTTCCAAAAATGTTAAATTAATTCTAGAACAGAGTGACTCAGAGAAAATGTTAAAATGATTCTGTAAGAGTTGATTTTAACACAACACTTTTTGCTCTGTACATTATTATAACATAGATCAGAGAACAGTGTAAAATGTGTTTTTTAAATGAGTGTAAAATCATTTTAACACTGGCAGGAGTTAAAGAGCAGGTGGAGCGCGGTGCAGACGAGGTCACAGAATCAGACGGGTTTGGATCTGGTGTGGAGTTATTTCTTATGCATGAACGTCCTCTCCGGTGTCTGGACGCTCTTTTGGCGCTAACTGTACATTTAGCGTCGCGCATGAATCATTAACGCGACCGTGACCCTGAAAAGCGCCGGATCAGAGGAACACGAAAGGGAAGTTCATCTCCAAATCAGGGCTCCGATGTGACGCAAGGGACACGATCGTTTTCTCTCTGACCTCATCCTCCAAAACAAACCCGAACTTTAGCCCCGACGCCACCAGGACACGACTCCGGACTCTGGAGCTGAGGGAAAAAAAACACCTGTTCATCACGTTTAAAGGGTCAAGTTTTACACTATTTTCTGATCTCTTTTCTGTTCTAACGTTGTTTTCTCGTCACACACAGACCTGGAGTTGTGTTTTTTTGTTTCATTTGCACATGTTTATCACACAAACCTGCACATTTAGGCCAAACTCTTCTCTCAAACTGAAAACGCTCTGTTCCACCTCGTGATGTCATCATGTGGTGACACAGGTTCACTGTGTTTTTAAAGTCCACACTTCACCTTCACTAGAATCATTTGGATCATTTCAGTCCTGGAGTCGCCGATCTCGACTGAACTAAAGGGAAAAACAAAAGCTGTTCACTTGGAAACTACCACTTGATGACATCACAAGGTGGAACTGAGCGTTTGGAGGTTTGCAGATGTAGACAGACGAATAATAAAGATTTACTCAAACATGAATGAGACAAAACACAACTCCAGGAAACATTAGAACAGGACTTAAAGCCACAGGAGTCAGTTTTGTCTGATACAGGAGTTTTAAAACAACAGATGAACTTAAAGATGCACTGTGTAACTTTTCTTTTTCATACTGGAATATCCCAGTGTTTCATTAATCCAGGGATCTCCAACCTGTAGCTCGGGAGCTGTCAGTAGCTCTGAAACCTCCTCCCAGCAGCTCATCAAAGGATTTCTGAGTAAAACATCTTGTGGTGAAAGACTCAGATTTGATGAAGAACTTTTGTAAATGTGACATTTTGAAGTTTAACTCTGTGCACTGATAAACAGGTAAAGATTTATGTTTTATAAGCGTCTAACTGTTTCCCATCGAAGAATTTCCTATGCTCCATTTCTTGTGACCGCTACAGTTAGTCACTTTTAGAACCTCATACTTTATTCACTTTGTTGTGTCATTGTTTTCTGAAATTAAAGCAGAGAAGAAATATGTAAAAAAAAATCCCTCAGTCGTTCAGGTCGAATCCACGACAAAGGAGAAATTCAATTTGTCGACTGGACAAACGTTTATTTGGTCGAATACGTTTCTGTTCTTCAGCTTGGACGAGCGGCGAAACATATTTGACCAAATAAACTTTTGTACAGTTGACAAATACAATTTCTCCTTGGCTCCAGAACAAAAAAGCAAATTTGAGTTGAAAAATAAATCATGGAATCAGTTTATAGAACAAAACATATTGTAAACTTTAGATTGACGTGTGTCGACCTTTGTCAGATCTAACAGCTGAACTCACTCGTGCCTCGTTCTTTTCACAACACAAATCAAATATTGTGGAGAAAGTTCTTCCCAAGTCTGTGGCAGAAGTTTCATAAATGTGTAGCACTTGACGGTTGCTTCACTCTTCAGTGAAACAACCAGCTCCATGTGGTTTAAGTCTGGACACTGTACTAGGTGATTTCCTCAAATGTACTTCAATAATATACAGAACTGCACAGAACCTGATCCAGGATTCCCACAGTCATGGAAATCCTGGAAAGGTCATGGAAATTGAAAATGTCATTTTTCAGGCTTGGAAAATGAGTCATGGAATTTTGTAAATTCAGTTAAAGTTTTGGATTTTAGTCTCTGTTTCCTGCAGCTCCAGTGTTTGTTCAGTTTTCATGAGTTTGTTCTGATTATTTCTAAACGTCTGAGTCTTTTGTTTTAAAGAGACGACAATAAAAACAGGATTTAAAATGTTCAAAAACTATAATCCCAAACCATAAGGTGAGTGGAGTTAATGTTTCAGATTTAGACCTAAAAGTCTGATCAATTCTACACATGTAGGTGCTGGAAAGTCCTGGAAAATTCACTTTAGCTCATGAAAATATAATGGAAAAGTTTTGTCAATGAAAAAGAGGAGGAGCCCTGTTCGTCCTTCTGTTTCAGTGCAGAGACACGACAAAATAACTGTTATTAAGGTCACTTAAATGTGAACTCTTTCTGTTCTGATCGTAATGATTCACACTAAGATCTTATCAAGACGTTTCAAAAAGAAAAATGTGCATTTCTACAGCTTTAAATCCTCATATATAAATACACCCTGACTTTTTTAAATACAACTGAGCTTAAACATACGAATGCAAAAATCTAAACTGTATTTGGTACTTTTTTGGTTTAAAGATTTGAAATGACTTGAAGCTCAAAACAGACGACTTGGACTTGACTTGGACTTATGGACCAGTGACTCAAGACTCGACTTGGACTTGACTGTACTTGACTTGGGACTTGACTCGGACTCGAGGTCAAAGACTCCGAAAGACTCCGTTTTTCTTAATTCAAGCAACATTCGATTTTGGTTCTTATTTTAAAAGCAAAAAATTGTTGTTCCACTTAAAATAAGAAAAACAAGTTGTATTTTCATAAGTACAAAAGGTTTTATTCCAATTGCAGATATTTCACTTTTACTCAAATGATGATCAAACTTTCTTAATTGAAATGGTCTGAACTTGAGTAGAATGAGTTTGTTTTGGATTTGTTTGTTGTTGTTGCAGAGGGGCTGAGGAGCCTGGAGGAGATCCGTCTGAGGAAGTGCATGTACATCGAGGACAGCTGCCTGGAGACCCTCAGCTCCATGGAGAACCTGCAGAACAGCGTGTACCTGATGGAGGTGGTGTCCTGCGGGAACGTCACGGACACAGGGATCATCGCTCTGCACAAACTCAAGTGAGGGGATCCGCGTTTAAAGCTGCACTGCGGAACTTTCCTGGCGGACGGTCTGATGATGAAGTTATCTCACTTTCCCTGTTTTCCATCGAGGCCAAACCAGATCAAGTTACTTCATGGAAATGTTACTGATTTATCTAGAATATCCCTCAGTGTGGCATTAAACTCATTTATATCCATGGATACAAGCCCACAATCCCTCCAGACCAAGTCACAGGTCAGATCTGTGGAGAGGCGAACCCGCTCACACTCACAATGTCTGTTTTTCGAGGTTGTTTTTGACTCTAAAACCTCCTGTAAATGAATAAATGTAAAGTCGAGCTGTTTAAAGTCACACTGTGGAACATTCCAGACAGAGCAGTGACGTCTCCATAGAAACAAACAGGTGACAGACGTCTAAATAAAAAGTGACAGAGTGCAGCTTTAAGTCTGCGCTCACCTTAGTCACAGAGAGTTTCTCGTGTTCAGTTTGTCTCTAGTTTTTGTTTCATCGTCTGAAAATAATTCTACGTTTTTCTTCTTGTGTTTTGGTTTTGTTTTATAAACTTTTTTAAACTGGATTTTGTAGATTTAAATATGAACTTTAGGTCCTGTCACTCCACACGGTTTTATAGGTTTTAGTCCTGGTTCAGTCCAGGTTTAGTCCTAGTTTAGTTTAGTCCTAGTTTAGTCCCAGTTTAGTCCCTTGTTTAGTCCCAGTTTAGTCCAGTTTAGTCCCAGTTTAGTTAGTTTAGTCCAGTTTAGTCCCAGTTTAGTTTAGTCCCTTGGTTTAGTCCTGGTTTAGTCCTTTAGTTTCCTGGTTTAGTCCCAGTTTAGTCCCTAGTTTAGTCCCAGTTTAGTCCCTGGTTTAGTCCCAGTTTAGTTTAGTCCCGTTTAGTCCCAGTTTAGTCCTGGTTTAGTCCCAGTTTAGGTTTAGTCCCTAGTTTAGTTTAGTCCCGGTTTAGTCCCAGTTAGTAGTTTAGTCCCAGTTTAGTCCCAGTTTAGTCCCAGTTTAGTCCTAGTTTAGTTTAGTTTAGTTTAGTCCTAGTTTAGTGGTTTAGTCCCTTGGTTTAGTCCCAGTTTAGTCCTGGTTTAGTCCCAGTTTAGTCCAGGTTTAGTCCCAATTTAGTTCTAGTTTAGTGCCGATTTAGTCTTGTTTTAGTCTGGTTGTAGTCCTGGTTTAGTCCTGGTTTAGTCCTTGGTTGTTTTACTAACAGAAATATTAAAATGACACATTAAGCCAAACTCTGCACTAATTTGATCTTTTCAAACTAAATAAATACTTGAATCTTTGTTTTGTGCGTGTAGGAACCTGGAGTACCTGTTCCTGAGCGACCTCCCTGGAGTCAAAGACAAAGAGAAAACTGTGGAGCGTTTGAAAAGTGCTCTGCCCAAACTCGACTTGGACCTGGACTTGGACTAAACCTGGATTTCAAGCACCTTAAGTTTTTGGACAATGGGAAACGTCACAGAAGATCCAATAAATGCACTAAAATCAGTACGTTTAAAATGAACAAAATTCTCTCGTGTGTCGCTTTAAACATTTGTGTTTTGTGTTTGTGCCGCAATAAAAACCTTAAACTGAAATGTGTAAGTCTGGAAGTTAAGAAGAGTAAAAAGTTTGAAAATTGTAATGATAAAACTGATGAAGAATTTACATTTTCTTGTGCGTTTTTGTTTACACAGAGATAATTACTCGAGTATTTCATCTAAGTGTTTTTCTACATACTCGACCGCACCTTTAATCCTTTAATATTTAGCTTTAACTTTTACAAAACTTGTGTCTGTCTCATTTCACAACAGAGTTTCATTTATTTACTCGGCTTCATGTTTTTTAGAAGCTTAAGTTCGTTGCAAAAATCCAAAAACCACAAAGACAAAAAAAAAAAACATTTGGTGATTTTATTGAAGATTTTCTGTTACAAAAGTTTCACGAGACACAAACGAGGAAACGGTTCTGAAAAGTGAAATATTTCAAACACAATTCGACTTGAGACTTTTGGCGTTTGTAGATTTGAACAGAGCGACGGCTGAAGCTCCTGAGCACCACAGACCAGAGTCCCACCGCACCGCCGGAACGAGAAGAACGAGATGAACGAACGAGAAGAACGAGATGAACGAGATGAACGAGATGAACGAGAAGAACGAGAAGAACGAGAAGAACGAGAAGAACGAGAAGAACGAGATGAACGAGATGAACGAGAAGAACGAGAAGAACGAAAAGAACGAGATGAAGAACGAGAGAAGAACGAGAAGAACGAGATGAACGAGATGAACGAGAATGAACGAGAAGAACGAGAGAAGAACGAAATGAACGAGAACGAGAAGAACGAGAAAGAACGAGATGAACGAGAAGAACGAGAAGAACGAGATGAACGAGATGAACGAGAAGAAGAAGAAGAACGAGATGAACGAGATGAACGAGAAGAACGAGATGAACGAGAAGAACGAGAAGAACGAGAAGAACGAGATGAAGCGAAGAGAGAACGAGATGAACGAGAAGAACGAGATGAACGAGAAGAACGAGATGAACGAGAAGAACGAGATGAACGAGAATGAACGAGAATGAACGAGAACGAAGAAACGAGAAGAACGAGATGAACGAGAAGAACGAGAAGAACGAGATGAACGAGAAGAACGAGAATGAACGAGAGAAGAACGAGATGAACGAGAAGAACGAGAACATGAAGACGAAGACGAAGATGAAGAAGAAGAAGAAAGTCTCCAAAAAGCAAACGCTGCGGAAAGTAACGACTCAAACTGAGGAGGACGCACCAGTCCAGGTTTAGACCCGGTTTAAACCAGGTTTAGTCCATGTTTATTTCATGTTTAGTTCTGGTTTAGTCCTGGTTTATTCAATGTTTATTTCGTGTTTAGTCCTGGTTTAGTCCTGGTTTAGTCTTGGTCTAGTTCTGGTTCAATTCATGTTTAGTCCAGATTTATTCCTGGTTTAGTTCAAATTTTTTCCTGGTTTAGTCCACATTTAAAGCTGGTTTAGTCTTGGTCTAGTCTTGGTTTAGTTCTGGTTTTATTCATGTTTAGTCCAGATTTATTCCCGGTTTAGTCCATATTTAGTTCCGGTTCAGTCCTGGTTCAGTCCAGTTGTAGTCCTGGTTTAGTCCTGGTTCAGTCCTGGTTTAGTCCTGGTTCAGTCTCTGGTTTAGTCCTGGTTCAGTCCTGGTTTAGTCCTGGTTTAGTCCTGGTTCAGTCCTGGTTTAGTCCTGGTTTAGTCCTGGTTTTAGTCAGTCCTGGTTTCAGTCCTGGTTCAGTCCTGGTTTAGTCCTGGTTCAGTCCTGGTTTAAGTCCTGGTTTAATCCTGGTTTAGTCCTGGTTTAGTCCTGGTTTAGTCCTGGTTTAGTCCTGGTTTAGACCTGGTTTAGTTCTGTTGTAGAACCGTGTAACTGATCTGATCCAGTCTTTTGTTTTTGTCAATAAATATGTTGTTTGTTTTTTTTCACTTCTGCGTTTCACCGAAAACACAAATCTATAAAAACACATTTGGCAAAACCGTGAGGCTTTTTCTGTCCGGAAACGCAGAGACTTTGTCCCTTTGTCGACTAAAAACTCTAAAAACTCTAAAAACTCTAAAAGCTCTAAAAGCTCTAAAAGCTCTGGGCACAAACCTGAGCCCGTCGTGGCAAAAACACACAGTGCATAAACCGACGAGGAAAAGTTCAACAGAGAATCTACGAAACCAGTCGAGGCGCCGCTGGATTTCTGGGATTTGGATTTCTCGGTGGATTCTCGGTGGATTCTCGTGGATTCTTGGTGGATTCTCGGTGGATTCTGGTGAAAGCGTGAAAGGCTCAGATGTTGGGCAGGTGGTAGTTGAACTTTCTGAGGTTGTTGTAATATTTCTTGTGGTCCAGAGCCGGGAAGATGCTGCTGCCCGTCAACTGCGGAAGATACTGGAAGAGAGAAAAAGACAAAGATTAAAATCTCTAAAATAAAAAATAAATAAGTAAAATAAAAACTAATAATTACAAGACGACATGTTTGTGATTTTAAATAAGAGCAAAATTAAAGCAAGACAAAGTTATAAAGTATTTAAGGTTTTCAAATGATTCTGAGGAAATAAGGAAAAACAAATCATCTGCAGGAGCTTCAGGACTTCACATGGAAACTTCTCTGAAACATCTCCTTTTTCTACCACATTTCCTCTAAATCATCTTTTGAAGCTCAAACTTGAAGCAGGTTCTAATGGAGCTGATCTGAAACTGTCTTTTTGACGGTGACTGAAGGAGCAGCCTGCTGCAGCGGCGTCTCACCCCAGGAGGGAGGTGCTTCCGTGGGGGTCGGAGCCTCTTGTTGGTCCGGTCTTGGTCTCTGGACGCGGTCGGGTTTTTCTGGTTTTTCTCTCGGAGCGAATCGAAGTACGAGTGACGGAGCAGCTGCTCACAGGAGAGACGCTCGGACGGGTCCATCCTCAAACAACCCTGAACACGAGCAGCACAACAGAAGATTTTTACACCAAACAGAACAGAGACAGAACAGAGACAGAACAGAGACAGAACAGAGACAGAACAGAGACAGAACAGAGACAGAACTCTCAAACTAAAGACACAAGACGGAACTTTACAGTTCTAGTAAAAATATTTGTATATTTTTGCCTGTGGGATATCGGCCTCAGATCTCCAGCTCAGGTCCATATTTAGTTTTGGTCGAACTGTCGCCTAAAAACACACACAGTCGAGGTCTGTGTGGGCCAGTTTTTATTCCTGCTCCTGCCGCATCTGTGATATTTAGTCCTGGTCCCGTCTGTAAATCTCAAGTCAGAAGCGTTTGTTTTCTTTCTCATAAAAGGAAAAAACTTCCAGACGTTTGATTTCAGGTTTGTTGATGGTAAATGTGCGTCTCTTTAAAGTAAGTCTTTATTTCTATCGCGCTTTTCACACACATTTGTCACAAAGACGCGTCACAGAACATCTTCATTCTCTCCAGACCCAGAGATGGTAAAATACAACTGTAGCCACACCTGCCCTGGGACAGACTGACCCTCCGACCACCATCACACACACACACACACACACACACACACACACACACACCTTTCATACTCGGCACTGTGGGTGAAGTGTTTTGCCTAAGGACACAACAACAGTTTTTGTTCTGGCGCCTCCTGTGGCTCCTGATTTTCCCAGAGTCTCATCCAAGTCCAGACCAGGACCAGGACCAGACCAGGACCAGACCAGGACCAGACCAGGACCAGACCTGGACCAGACCTGGACCAGACCTGGACCAGACCTGGACCTGCGGAGCTTCTGAGACTTTTACAAACTGGTAGAGCCACAGACCGATTTGTTAAAGTTAAAGTTAAAGTTTAAAACCTTCCTCCTGAAGCTCTGTGATTCACTCGAGCTGCTCTGTTCTTCTGACATGTTTTTGACGCTCGATCAAACAGAGACACGGAAAGGAAATGATTAAAATGTGCACGAGATTAAACCACGTCTGCAAGTTTAGTCTGGCTCCAAATGTTTTTATTAATGCCAAATAAAATCTCCAGCACAAATGATGTATGATAAACAAACATGGATCATTTGTAGATTTTACTTGAAGCTCAGATTTAGTTTATCATCCTGTCTGCTCCTGCACTGCACCCGCCCGCTCCCACCTGCGCCCGAAAACGTGTCCTGTGCTGCACTGTTCTGCGTCGGGTCCCGCGGGTGCAGGGCTCGAACACAAAGTTTTATTTTAACACTTTAACAAGAAGAAAAAAGAATGTGACGGCACAATTCCCTTAAGAGTTTGTTTAGAATCAAGAGAAACCGAAGAAAAAAGCTGAAAAAACAATCAGTATCAGCATCAAGAAAAACACTCGTGGCTCCAGCTCTGACTCACTCCTACCACCTGTTTCCATGAGAATTTTGTGCCACCTGCAGAAAGTTCCGTACAGTATCTTTAAACAAACACAGAGATCAGGAGTCTAACCCACAACCTCCTGGTGAGAGGGAGGAGCGGGGCTAACCACTCTGCCACAGTCACACACAGAGACGACGTGAGGAACATGAGGAAAGTGTTTTTACCTTCATGAAGCTGAGAGCCTGAGGAGACACGTTTGGATACTTCTGCTCCAGAGGTTCCTGCCGAGAAACATCACGACGGTCGAGACGTTTGTGACGCTCAAACAGAATCAAAAACTTAAAAAAAAAAAAACATTTATAAACTCTGCTCACCATCTCCTGAGGCTCTGGGATGGACACGCCGCTGAAGAACTGATTGTTGCTGAAAACCTGCTGATGTCGAGGAATGAGGTCACCTGAAAAACACATTAAACTATTCAGTCAGAGTAAAAAACATAAATAAATAAAAATAAATAAATAAATAAATGCTTTAAATGTCCAGAAGAGGGCAATATGAACAGAGCCATAAACACTGAACACAAACAAACACACTTTAACACAGTGTAATATATTTTTTACTGAATTTAATACTTAATATTTAACACTGTGCAAGATTTTGACTGAGTTTTGTCGTCTTGTGTCCCAGTGTTTTTATGTCTTTCATTAACACTACAAACTTATTTATTGATTGTATATTTCTTCTGTTGTGTGTTGTGTCACATGTGTCTGCGCTGGAGTGTGCTGAGTTTAATCTTGTGTTGTACATGTTTATATTGACCAGACGTTTCCCTGGGACAGTCCCAGTCCTGAGTCTGTGTCTCTGTCCCTGCAGATTCACACAAAACCACTGATTTGTCTCAGTTTATACAGAAATGTCCCAGTGTCTCTGTTTTTGACCAATCTGATCCTGCAACAGTAAAGAGACATAAACTGACATTTGTTTTGGTAAAATACAAAAAATGTGACTATACTGACTAACGATGGGCAGGATTAGTTGATTAATCGATAATTGATCATTAAGAATTTCATCAATTCCGTTCATTTTAATGGACAAACTGAATGTATTGTGTGTGTGTCGGGACAAACAGGTGTGTACATGTGTCTCTGCATCAGAAGGAGCGAGACACAAACAGTGGGTCAGTCTGTAACGAACCGAAGCACAAATGTGGATTTAACCAGGATTTGTAGAAGAAATTCCACACTTTCCGTTGCGTTGGGACAAGTGTGAGTCCATGTGCACAGTGGATAAAGCAGCACATATGTTTCTGTGTCCAGTGGGAAAAAGTTTTTCCAGGTGAGAGTCGCTCAATGTGGATGACGAGGCCCCGCCCACTTCTTTTATACAGACGATGGCCTTGACCAACATGCACCTCCCAGATTTTATATCTACGTGTTGAAGTGATGCCGACAGCAGGAAAGCGACGCACACAGAAGAGCTGTGATTGGTCGTCTCCACACACATTTCCAGTTTTCCACTTTCCTGCTTCATTTTGTAGAACTGAACATCGTCGCCTCCTGGTGTTGTGGAGGGGAATCACTTGGCGGCGCACAGACCTCGACACAGATCCATAAATCAGAAACGACTGACAAGGCGACGATGACAGAACGATGAGTCGACACAGAACTATAACTGGTCTTTTACTTTGCACAGATCCTGTCACCTGTCGTCGCTCAGGTGTTTCTGCTCAGATTGTGTTGAAATAAAAGTTCAGGTTTATATTTGTGTCTGTTGTTTGTTCTGGTCTCACCCAGCGTTCTCCTGATGAGGTAGAGCTGGTCCATGTCCGATTTCCCGGGCCACAGGGGCAAACCCGACAGCAGCTCGGCGAACACGCAGCCCACGGCCCACACGTCCACCGGGGGCCCGTACTGAGTGTCCCCCACCAGCAGCTCCGGGGCCCGATACCAGCGAGTCGCCACGTAGTCCGTGTAGTAATCACAAGGACCGGCTGAAGACAACACAGACAGAGACCTGGAGTTTAGACCTGGAGTTTAGACCTGGAGTTTAGTCCTGGAGTTTAGTCCTGGAGTTTAGTCCTGGAGTTTAGTCCTGGAGTTTAGTCCTGGAGTTTAGTCCTGGTCTTTAGTCCTGGTCTTTAGTCCTGGTCTTTAGTCCTGGTTTAGTCCTGGTCTTTAGTCCTGGTCTCAGTTCGGACTCAAACTGGTCTAAAGTGGTCTTTTGTTGGACTCACTGAGGATTCGGGCGAATCCGAAGTCGCAGAGTTTGATGACGTGGTGTTTGGTGATGAGGATGTTTTCTGGCTTCACGTCGCGGTGGATACACTGAACCACAAACAAAACTACATCAGCACAAAGAACAAACACTGAACCACAAACAAAACTACATCAGCACAAAGAACAAACACTGAACCACAAACAAAACTACATCAGCACAAAGAAGAAACAAATGAAACTTTTTTTAAAATCATTTACTTTAAAGTTTATATGAGACTTTTTCCACAGGACTAGACCAGGACTAAACAGGACTTGAGACTTAGACTAAACAGGACTAGACCAGACTAAACCAGGACTAAACCAGGACTAGACTAAACCAGGACTAAACCAGGACTAGACCAGACCAGACTAGACCAGGACTAACCAGGACTAACCAGGACTAGACCAGGACTAAACCAGGACTAAACCAGACTAAACCAGGACTAGACCAGGACTGACCAGGACTAAGACCAGGACTACTAGACCAGGACTAGACCAGGACTAGACCAGGACTAGACCAGGACTAGACCAGGACTAGACCAGGACTAGACCAGGACTAGACCAGGACTCTGTAGAAAGTCGGTGCAGGTTTTTTGGGGAACAGAGGAGGATAAAAACGCTGCTCAACACGACACGAGGAATTCTTGTAAAAACCATCGTAAAAGAGAAAGTCTGTGGGAACGACAGAGAGGAGAGAAGGAGAGAGAGAAAAGAAGAGAAAAGAGAAAAGAAGAGAGGAATGGAAAAAGAGAGAGAGAGGGGAAAGACAAGAGAAAGGGGAGAGCAGAGCGAGAGAGTGGAAAGAGACTGAAGAATAGAGAGAGGGAGAGATGGAGGAAAGGGAAGAGAGAAAAGGAGAGAGAGAGGGAAAGGTAAAGAGAGAAGAGACAAGAGAGAAAGAGAGAGAGAGAGAATGATGAAGAGAAGAGAAAGAAGAAGGAGAAGAGGAGAGGAGGAGGAGGAGGTAAAGAGGGAAAAAAAGGAAGATCACAGAACAATGAATGTTTAACTTTTAATAAAACACTTAAAGCTGCACTGTGTATCTTTTCTGCTCGTCTCCATGGTGATGTTGTTGCTTTAGATCGCCTGAGATGTTCCAGAGTGCGGCATTAAACTAATATTTATGTTTTATTTATTCATTTTTATTTCTCAAAAGTAGCACAAAAACAACAGGATTATGACTGTGAGCGAGTCGACCGCTCCACAGCGAGTCGACCCGCGGCTCCACGGACCCGCGGCTCCGACCCGCGGCTCCACGGGCCCGACCCGCGGCTCCACGACCCGCGCTCCACCGCGGCTCCACGGGCCCGCCCGACCCGCGGCTCCACGGGCCCGACCCGCGGCTCCACCTGCTGATGTGACTCGCTCGTCGCCATGGAGACAGTCAAGTTAAACTCAAATTAAATGACAATATTGTGGATCATTTTAAAAAATAACAACAAAAACAACAAACACGGAGCCTCGGCCAGAAAAGTCCAACAGAAACAGATGAAGTGAAACAGAAGAGTTGGACTCACGTTCTGTTTGTGGCAGAAGTTGACGGCCTGAAGCGTTTGCCACGTGATGGTTTTGGCGAGAGGCTCCGGGACTCTGCGTTTAAAAAAACAAAAACACATTCTTATTATTAAAGAGCTCAAATCACACTGTTCTATTATTATTAAAATCAACTCTCACAGAATCAATTTTAACACTTTCACTGTGTTTATCTGAGTCACTCTGTTAATGAACATTTCCAAAAATGTTAAATTAAGTAACACTGAACCAAAGCTCCTCTTTATTAACCTGAAACCCAGAGTTATATGAAGGTTTAGAGAGTAAACAGATAAATCAGGATAACTCTACAAAGTGTTAACTCAACAACACACAGAGCTGTTTTATTTTTACACTTTATTTGAGTTAATTTAAAATGAAATTCAGAACAAAACTGGTTCTTCTCTGGTGGGAGTTTGAAGTGGTGGGAGGAGACAAATATACACTAAGAGAAATTTAATTAACACTAGAGGGAGTTGAATTCACTTCAACCACATCAACTCTGGCAAATAACTCCAACTCCAACCCACATTTAACTCTCAAATAGTTAAAATAACATGTTTTGTGATAAAAACAACTCTGAAATATTTTACCCTCAACTTTTAACCCTCCAGTTTTTTCGGTGTCGTTTCCTCGTCACAAAAGCTCGAGTTGTGTTTTGTTTCACATGTTTATCACACAAACCTGCACATTTAGGCTGAAATATTTATATTTTACCCTGAACTTTTAACCCTCCAATTTGCCGTGTAACTCTCCATTTGTGTCAAGTATTTAAGTGTTTAATATTGTGACACACTTAAATTCAGCTGCGTCAGATTTTAGTTTAAAATTAAACATTAAAGTGTTAAAAATGTTTTACTAATCTAAACTTCTGCTCCTTTTTATTCACATCAATGTAAGAAACAGAATTATTTTATCTTCATCGAACAATGAATGAAACAAAAAATAAATAAATGAAGTGTTCCACTGTGTTTTTAAACTCCACACACCTTCACTAGAATCATTTTACTGAACTAAAGGTCTGTTAAACTACCACTTCATGACATCACAAGGTGGAGTGAAGTCCCTCTCTGTTTGATGAAGAACATGAGAACATTAGAAGATGAGAGTAAAAGTTCACAGAGTTGTTTTGTTTTTAAATGTCACAGATGATGAACTCGCTCGTCTTTCACAGAGGAACGGAGGAGGCGCCTGAACTTTGACCTTCAGGAAAATGAAAACTTTAAAAGAATCAAACTCTCCCACGAGAAAAACATGTGAGGAGGAGGAGACGACGAAGACGAGGAGGAAGAAGAGACGGTGAGAAAATGATTAAATGTAGTGAACAAAAAAAATCAGACTCATCAAAACTAAAACCAGAATCAAAACCAGATCCTAATTTTTCTCAGATATTGATACAAAAAAGTCCCATTTTCAGACCAGAACAGAATCTGAACATGTTTAGAACAAACTGGAACCAAAGCAGAACAAGTGTAAGAGACAGACACACGTGGACCTGGTTTAGTGGTCTAGACCTGGTCTAGTCCTGGTCTAGTCCTGGTCTAGTCCTGGTCCTGGTCTAGTCCTGGTCTAGTCCTGGTCTAGTCCTGGTCTAGTCCTGGTCTAGTCCTGGTTTAGTCCTGGTTTAGTCCTGGTTTAGTCCTGGTTTAGTCCTGGTTTAAACACAGATAAAGACACATGAAATAGAAAAGGGAAAATCACAGGAGATTGTCTAAACAAAGTCTTTAGAAATACTTTGAAATACTTCAGGCTTTGATTTGAGTTGATCTGGTTCTTTGTTTGGTTTCTGTTTTGTGGCACATTTCGTTCTGTTTTCTTCTGAAAACACATTTTATATTTTTATTCACTACACTTGGATTCAACATGTTCATGGATATTTGGTTTTTAATAAAATCACACTCACACCTGAAGCTCGATCTCTCAGTCCTGATGAAGAAGCACAGAACAGACAGAACAGAACACAGAGCACAGACCACAGAACAGAGCCTCTGTCCTCCTCTTTTATCTTTTATCTTTTATCTGGACATGAACTGAAGCCTCCTGGTCTGAGCAGCACCAGTGTTTGGGAGTTTGGATCCAGCGCAGCTCAAATATCACCTTTTCTGTTATTCTCTCAAAACTACTTGGACTCCCTGAAATACACCACCTCCACCTCCATCTCTCTCTCCTCTCTCTCTCTCTCCACCTCTCTCTCCATCTCCCCCTCCATCTCTCTCCATCTCCATCTCTCCATCTCTCTCTCCATCTCTCTCTCCATCTCTCTCTCTCTCCATCTCTCCTCCATCTCTCTCTCCATCTCTCTCTCCATCTCTCTCTCCATCCCTCTCTCTCCATCTCTCCCTCCATCTCTCTCCACCTCTCTCTCCATCTCTCTCCTCCACCTCTCTCTCCATCTCCTCCCTCCATCTCTCCCTCCATCTCTCCCTCCATCTCTCTCCTCCATCTCTCTCTCTCCATCCTCTCTCTCCACCTCTCTCTCCACCTCTCCCTCCATCTCTCCCTCCATCTCTCCCTCCATCTCTCTCTCCATCTCTCTCTCTCCTCTCTCTCTCTCTCCATCTCTCTCTCCATCTCTCCTCCATCTCTCCCTCCACCTCTCTCTCCACCACCTCTCTCTCCACCTCTCTCTCCTCTCTCTCTCTCCACTCTCTCTCCACCTCTCTCTCCACCTCTCTCTCTCCATCTCTCCCTCCATCTCTCTCTCCACTCTCTCTCCACTCTCTCTCTCCACTCTCTCTCTCTCCACTCTCTCTCTCCTCCACCTCTCTCTCTCCACCTCTCTCTCCATCTCTCTCTCTCTCCACCTCTCCCTCCATCTCTCTCTCTCTCCCTCCACTCTCTCCTCTCTCTCTCCATCTCTCTCTCTCTCCACCTCTCTCTCCATCTCTCTCTCTCCCTCCATCTCTCTCTCCATCCCTCCTCTCTCTCTCCATCTCTCTCTCTCCTCCATCTCTCTCTCTCTCTCCATCTCTCTCTCTCTCTCCATCTCCATCTCTCTCTCTCTCTCCACCTCTCTCTCTCTCTCTCCATCTCTCTCTCCACTCTCTCTCTCCACTCTCTCTCTCTCCTCCATCTCTCTCTCCATCTCTCTCTCCATCTCTCTCCTCCATCTCTCTCTCCATCTCTCCCTCCATCTCTCCCTCCATCTCTCTCTCCATCTCTCTCTCTCTCTCTCCATCTCTCTCTCTCCTCCATCTCTCTCTCCATCTCTCTCTCCATCTCTCTCTCCATCTCTCTCTCCATCTCTCTCTCTCTCCATCTCTCTCTCTCTCTCCACTCTCTCTCTCTCTCTCCACCTCTCTCTCCATCTCTCTCTCCACCTCTCTCTCCACCTCTCTCTCCACCTCTCTCTCCATCTCTCTCTCCACCTCTCTCTCCATCTCTCCTCCACCTCTCTCTCCATCTCTCTCTCCACTCTCTCTCTCTCTCTCCACCCTCTCTCTCCACTCTCTCTCCACCTCTCTCTCCACTCTCTCTCTCTCTCTCTCCACCTCTCTCTCCACCTCTCTCTCCATCACCTCTCTCTCCACTCTCTCTCTCTCTCTCTCCACCTCTCTCTCCATCTCTCTCTCCTCTCTCTCTCTCTCTCCATCTCTCTCTCTCTCTCTCTCCATCTCTCTCTCCATCTCTCCTCCATCTCTCCATCTCTCAGCTCCAGTGACACAGTCTCTGGGGCTGTGCAAAAATATTGAAATATCGATATATCGTATTGTTTAATGTAATGATACAGTATCGATATCGTGGGCTGCTGTATCGATATATCGCGTATTGAGTATTTTTGGTGTATTTTACTAAATTATTTTGCTCCAGCTCCAGTTTTGTTGTTTGTTTAGTGGAAGGAAACTCGTTCACGCGGCAAAAAGGTTCGTTAAAATGAAAATGAACATTTGACTTTATCTGAGTCGACTCCACCAGTGGAAGAAGTGTTTTTCTAAATTCAAGCGACATTTGATTTCATTTCTTATTTTAAGGGTTGTTGTTTTTCTTTTTTTAAGTGCAGCAAGTTGTATTTTTGTATTTTAAGAACAAAAAAATCATGTTCCACTGACAGATCATTTAACTTGTCAAGTGGAATTTCCTCAAAATCATAATAAAACTTTCTTAATTCAAGTCGTCTTAACTTGGCTAGATTTAATTTTTTTTTGCAGCTCATGCGACACACATTTGACATTTTCATTTCACAGTTTTGAGGATTAAAATGTTTTTGTTTCATATGAACTTTGCACAAGAAGAAGTGGTTTAACAAAGACTTTTAGTATCACAGACATGATTTAACCTTTATTTTTACTGAACGGTATCGAATCAATTTGAAATATATCGTATCGAATCGTAAGTTCACTGTATCGAAATATGTATCGTATCGTGGCCTATGTATCGAGGTATGTATCGTATCGGCAACATCTTAAAGGGACAGTTCAGGTTTTTTGACATGAATCTGTGTGTGGTGCATCTACACTGACTTCACCTCCGACAGCGTCCGGTGAGTCCAGATCCTGACCGGTTTTGGTGCTGAGGAAAGTAGTTTCGTTAAGTTGTTCTGGGGACAGAATAATAAAGTGTTTTTCTTCTCAAAACAACATGTGTTAAAAAGAGTGACACATTTGCACCACAAAACCTCCGTCCTCTAAAAAGTCACACCTCATAATCACTTGGCACTATTTTCTCTCCGTTCGTATCACTGCGCTGCCGCCAGGTGACAGCCGCACGGATCAATCAGTTTTCTTCAGTTGTTCGGCAGTGTTTACTTGTATATATAAGCTTGTATAAGATACATAACTATATATCTAAAAAATGGTGTGAACTTGCGATTTTCCGGCCTGTAACAACAAAAATCTGTCTGAATCTCGGCACAAATTTCACCGTTTTCCTGTAACGGACGTATATTCGGGTTCAAAAAGATCTCCCATTGGCTCTGTGCTAAAATCAATGTCTTCATCATCGGTGTCGTAATCAGACATGTTGTTGTCGTTAACATTCCGAGCAGTAAACAAAGTGAACCAGGCGCAGTGATACGAACGGAGAGAAAATAGTGCCAAGTGATTATGAGGTGTGACTTTTTA